CAGCCGGGAGCCTGCAGCCGGAGCTGCCCTGGAGGTGTGGCGGCTCTCGGCACCCGGGAGCGGAGCCCCGCAGCAGCCCGGGGCCGCTGGGGCTCGGGGACAGCCTGGCCACCAGCCCGGCCGTGTTGTTGTCACCGGGCCAGCCGCGTCCCTCCACGGGGAGGTACAGCTCCGAACGCTGCTCGGAAATCCAGCTGCTGCCAGCTGCGCTTGTGGTGGCTCTACAGCTCGTGTTTGAGCAGGAGAACCGTGCTGCGATCCGGTTGGAACCTAAGTCTCCTGACTAATTTCAGACGTTTTCCTGTATATTATATATATATATATTTTTTTACCTCTTGTTTTCCTTGCTGTTACTGCTGCTGTCGTTTGCTAGTGAACCCTAACCTAAAAATCAATCCGTGCCATATCCTGGAGTGTGTTGTGCAACGTTGATTTTTCTGAGTGAGGCCGAAGACCATTGCACCACATTCTTAGACAAACATATGGGGCACGTTGCAAACAAAGATAAAGAGTGAAATATGTGTGCAGGGCACAAGACAAGCTTTTAATCCCTATGTCCTCCTAAAAAATTAATTCATCTCTCCCACCAGCTTTGACCCTAGAGTGAATGCTTGTGGCAGCATTTGTGAAGCCCTCTCTAGCAGATTGTAGTTATCCAAAACAAACTGGATAAGATGCTAGAGTTTGAAGGTATTTGATTTTTTAAAAATAAAATATTTTTGTATTTTCCACAGATGTGGGATTCCTTCCTCCTTTAGAGAAGAGCTAGGACTTGATCCTTTTGGCTTTAAAGAATAATAAAACAATAGTGGATTTGTCTGTATTTAACCTGTCACTCAACTTTCTAATAAAACCAACTACACCTTAGTTCCTTTCCACCACTTGTTTCGTAACTTACCTTGATCAGCTTTTAATAGAAAATTATTTTTTTTAACTCCAGTCTCACAGAGGAATTCCCTCTATCAGGAATTGGTTTGTCTATGTTTTAAGGCCAGCTATAAAAAGAACAGGTCTTTCTAAGAGCTGTGAATGTAGGCTGGTGTGTTTGAGCCTATGACCTAGGAAGGAGAGTGGCTCACAGAAGAAAAACATTTTAGCAATTTTATTTTAGCAATAGGCCCAGAAATGAAAGGGTTCACACTCTGTTTGTCTGGCTGCTTTTCATCATCCTGCCTTTTGTTTCCTCATTAGCTGAAACCTCAGCCTGCCCTGGAGCCCAGATTCATTTGTTCATAAGCAGACTTTGTTTAAAGATGATATTAACAGGTTTTATCAAAATGTAGTTGAAATTTCACCACTGTTAAATAACTTCTTAAGATCTTTCCTGTTCAGTGACTGTCAGGTGGCAATAATGTAAGCCCTGGTTTATTAATCTGTTTGTTTTATTGCTTTGACTTTGGCTAGAACTAGGCAGCAGTGTGAGGTGATTGATTCTGATTCCTTGAGAATCTTCTGCTCAAAGCTTCAAAGCACAGCTTGTAGAGTTGGCTGGGGTGAACCCTGTTAGTTCAAGTCCTGCCCATGATCTGTGTCCCTTACACAGATTTTCATTTCTTTGTCAGCATGTATGTTTTGGCTGTTACCCTTATGCTTTGTCTCTTGTGAATGACAGCTTGGATTAAGTAATGGGAAAGAAAACTTTTCAGTGGGGCTGATATTGACTGTCCTTGGGAGAAAAGAAAAGAATTGGCAGCACTCACATATATATCGCTCAGGTTACTATTCTACATGCAAGTTTTCAAATTTGTGTGAGGCAATGGGGTGTAATCAGCTGTGAAAGCTCTTGAAACCCCAGTGCTGCACTTTTGAACATGTGGGTGCCCTGTGGTGTCACCAACCCCAAGGTAGGTGAGCAGGCTTCCTTCCTGAGGGAGAGACTCAGGGATTTGGAATGTGAGCTGCCCACAAGCAGTGGGTGATTGGGGGCCCATTAACTTAGTCAGCAGAGAGACTGACAAACACAGCCTGTCTTAGCAGGCTTCCCTTCTGTGGAGCTTCAATGCCCTTGTCAGTGCTACTGTCTCCTTGTCCTCCTCCCTGGTCCTCACCCTTTTCCAGGAGGAATAGTGCTTATTAGCTCTTTAATATGAAATGGTGCTTGTTCCCTGAAAGCCACACTGGCTGCTTATCCTCACCAGCTTTGGCACAGGAGCAGCAGAGGTTTCCATCAGCCACGTGTGTATAAATGCCAAATGTTGAAAGATGGGGACCTACTGTATAGCCAGGACTAGCAACAAAGTAATAGCATGAGCTGGAACAAAACTGCTGGACTGTTCTCCCCTTTAAAAAATTAAAGCCCAAATAATGCCAAAGAGTGAGGAAGGTGAATTAGTTTTTTAGAGGAAAGGTGATAGCCTGGAAGAGTGGTTCAGAACGAGACCAATAAACAAATTATTTGCTGAAATCTGAATCTGTTCAGGCACAAAAATGACATTCTGTGCATTCCAAGGATATGCTTATAAACCAGATAAGAGGTGTGGAGAAGATACTTCTTATTCTCCACATTTGGTGTGGATTGTTTCATTAGTTGAGTAACTTTATACAATCTCATTATTCTAGAAAGTCCTGTGTTCACTCTCTGGCTGCAGATAAAAGCTGCCAGTTCACTCTACCCTCAGTGAAATTGTCTGAGAATAGATTTTCCTACTTAAAGTTGACTTTTTACACCTATGTGGCAGAACAAAGTGGGGATCCATCCCTTTCCCACCCCTGAGCAATTCAGTATTAAGGAGCCAAAGGTAAATACAGAGGGTAAAGTCCAGGAGTGTGGGAAACAAAATATTGCCTCCTTTTATAAGACTTAGAAATCAATCCTTCCCAGGTGTCAGGCAGAGTGCCATTTTTGGCAAGCTGACTATTGACTTAGCCATTTTCATTTGGCAGAAAAAAGTGTCACCAGGTGTAGATGAGAGCAGGTCAGTATGTTGGTGTGGCAGTAGGCTGTTACTGGTGTTATGTGCTTGGTTTACCAAAGGTAAATATGCAATTGCCCAGAAAAATTGAAAATTTCTTTCTAAAAGAGTGATTCAACTCTTCCGGCTTCGCTGGCAGCCTGCTCCAACACTATGTATTTATGTACTTGGATCTTAACTTTGATTGCATTTAACTACTTCTGATACAAGCCATTTATTTTGTGTTTTTCAAAACCAGATGGACTTTTACAGGCTGCAGATGTAATTTACAAACAAATGCCTTGACTCCTCGAAGTCAAGTGTAACCATATTGCAAAGCTCAGCTTGCATTCTGCCACTGGGTGTTTTGAATATGGGTAGTATGTTCAATCTTCCTAAAACAAACTCACATCTTAACACACAACATTGCTGTCAACTGATTATGTATCTCACAGAGTGTTTACCTTGGAAATAAAGAGAATTATCTAAGTAACTGAATGCAGTAAGAGATGCTGCCTTTTAAATTCAGTTTTACAGCCCATCAGCTTCACTGTGATTGTGACCTTGATGTCAGCTGAGCTAGGGGTGTCTCACATCTGCTTGAAATTGTATTAATTTTAAAAGTCTTTCCAAATGTCATGGGCAAGAGGGAGTTCAGAGATAACATATCTGTAGGGCTGTGTAGTATTTAGTTTTGAAATTAAGCTCCAAGAGTCTTAATGTGATCTGTGAATTACTTGTATAATGTGATTATGTCAACAGTCTTCCTCCTTCTTGCGGTACTTGACATGACTGTTTTTATAACTATGTTGAATTTTTATTTCTTAGATCTTTCCTATCCGTGGGAGCATCTGTAGGAGCAGTAACAAAGCAGACCCTGTTCCCTCCTCTCATGCCTGCAGGGCGCCCTTTCCGTGTGTCCAATGCCTCCCGAAGCAGCAGGAAAGGAATTGTTGCAAGCAGCCTGCAAGAGCTCCTCAGCAAGGTACAGCAAACAAAAGTCCCACTCTGATTGAAAATTACTGGGAAATACAGTATCCCACAGAGACCACCCACTGGCTCTTGGTCTTCTAAAAATCCATTACTGCGGAGGCTCAGCAGAATATTTCAGCTAAGCAAGTCTCAATATGAAATGGTGGGCTCTCTTTAGAATGCTAAAATCTCCTGGGTTTTTTTCAGACTTTAGATGCCTTCGTTATAACTGCTGGAATAGTAACTCTGGTTTTGGAGGAGGATGGCACAGTTGTGGACACAGAAGAGTTCTTCAAGTCCCTGGATGATAACACACACTTCATGGTTCTAGAAAATGGACAGAAATGGACACAAGTAAGTGTTGACTGCTTCTTTCTCATTTGAGTAGAAGTGGATGGAGGAATTTTTTTGTGTCTGCTAAAAATGTTGGAAAGAGAGGAGAAGAGGAAGAAAAATGCCTCTGAAGAGGCAAGGTGTAAACTCTTTGCTGAGCCTTCCTGGATGAAAAATCAAGTTCTTATTTCTTATTGTCCCTTGTTTGGACATAGATCTGTTGGCAAAATCCACCAGGAATTGAAATAAAATGTTACAACTGAAAAGACTTCCAAGGAAAATACCCTGTTTTTGGAGAAGCTCAGAAATATTTGTTCTTGAGCCTTTTTGTAACATAAAGGAAATTAGGACTTTGACTCCATGAAGTTAAAAAAATACAATGTCTTTAAGATCACATTTAGACTGTAAAAATGCTCAAATAAAGTAATATAAAGCAAGTTCTGACTTCTTAAGGCAGTAATAGTTAATGGCAGTTATTAAAATGCCTGTGTTTGATTTTGCAAATAGCCAGAAGCTGGCATCAGAACTTAATGTTAACCTGCATGCTTCAAGATACTTTAGAACTATTAAAGCTGACTTGGTTCTAATAATATAAATTCAGTTATCTTACAGGGAAATGGTCATCTGTGCATTAATAACATGGAGTCAAACTGGTAACTGTTTTTCCAAGAGATGGTTGATGCTAAAAAGCTAACACCAGAATTTTTTCTGCCAGGTGTGGAGCTGGCTGCGGAGCTGTAAGCAGGGACACAATTTTTGTGCCTTCACATGTACAGCTCAATCATGTGGCCCTGTTTTCCCAGTCTCCTGTTGCAGTGTGGGCAGCCTAAACATTTTTCCCCAAAATACCTCCTTGGCTTATCAAGTTCTGCCTCTGGGGCATGAGCTCCAAGGGTAGAAAAGGAGCTGCAGCCAGGATGTGACTCCAGCTTGCTCCTTCCCCCGTCTCCTGTCTGGCATTGCAGCAGCACAAGTTTGGATGCAGCCCCTCCTCAGAAGGTGCTGGGTGACAGCAGAGGGATTGTCACAGCTTCACCAATCACCTGGAGTGCAGCACCAGCTCTGTCCTGCTTTATCCAAATATTCTGGGTGCTAATGGGGAGGGGTGTGGGGAGATGCTTCCAAGCACACCAACTGCTTGTACATGTCTAAAGCTGTTGTTGATAGGGGACCCTGTTGCTGGAGCTTGGAGTTTATCAAAGTAAAACAGGCATAAAATTGCTGGCTAATGATATACTGCTGTGTTTAGCTTTGTCTGACTCACCGTGACACTGTCTGAGGGCTGGGGTGTCAAGTACAAAAAGGCCCAGTCTTACACAATTTTATTGCTTCATTTAGCATGCAGAAAACAGCCTGGCAGCTGCCAGGTCATTAACCTTGAGCAGAATGTGCTGAGCAGAGGATCCCGTGTATCCACTAGATGTCTCTGTGGATATGGGTTCTCTTTACTATTTTCTTCTTGTTTTTCCTTTCTTGGAGCACACACCCTGCAGCGGACAAGGGCTACTTTCAATAAAGGAGGGCGCATTTAAGGTGGAAGATGAATTTCTGTGCTCCCTCTCCTTTGCTTTTCCTCTTAAAATGTCATTACTAAACCCTTGGCCTAATCAGCAGTGATTCCCTCCCTGTGTTTCTTTTTTAGTAGGAAGAAAGAGATGTTGTGAGCCAGGTTTTGAAATGGGTCCCTAACTTTACACAGATGTCATGTCTGTAGCTGTCTCCAAGAGTGCTCATCAGTATTGTGTTCCTGACTAAACAGAAGGACCTGATGTCACCCTGGATATTTGGTGGCCTCAGAGAGCAGCCAGAATGTACCAGGATAAATAAAAATATCAGGAACACTGTCTAGTGCCTTCAGTGTACTCTGAAGAAGCTCTACTACAGAAAATAAATATTCAGGAGGTGCTCTGTCACTGTAAAATTTTAGTGTCTGTTTGGAAAATTTCAGAAGCCTGTTCAGGACTTGAAAAACAATACATCAGCTACAAACCTCCTTCTCTGTGTGCTAATGCCTTCAATTCTAGTTTAGAATTGACCAAGAACTAGCACCAAGGCTGGAATAAGCAAAGCTGCTTCTGAAGAGCTGCACTGTTAATAATTGTCTTGCTGTAGTTTCCTGTGTTTTAGTACAAACTTTCTCTCTCTCTCTTTTTAAATCAGACAAAAAATGGAGTTGTTGCTGTGAGAAAAAAGAAGAAAATGGGAGTAGCTAACATCACATTTGACCTGTACAAACTGAACCCTAAGGATTTCATTGGCTGCTTAAACATCAAGGCAACCTTCTATGAGATCTACTCTATCTCATATGACATCAAATGCATGGGAGCAAAAAGTGTATTGCGGTGAGTGTGTTTCCGCCGGTGGTCAGGTGTATGTGCTAATGCAAAAATCTGTGTTTGCTGTGTTGGTTCTGTGAAGCAGGTGTGTTTGTAGCATCAATACTTTTGTTATTTCTTACCTACTGGCCAATATGCTGACTCTTTCTTCATGAAGTGGATAGCTGACCAGTGAAAAACTTCTTATAACTTTTTATGATAGAATCTTAAGTTTCTACCAAGGCAAAACTCTTTATCAGCTGGTATTTATTGAAAGGGTCTGAGTACAGGTTTCTTTGTTCTGCTGAGAGAATTTCCACAGGTTTCCTTGACTTGTTTGTCTGAAGAATGCAGAGGGCTGGGGAAAGAAGCTCTTTGAAGAGGAGACTTCAAGGGGATGAAATGAGAGGAATTTGAGATCTAATGTCAGGGGTCTTAAAGCTTGCTCAGACATTGCCATTCCTGTTTCACCACTGGAGCTACATGGAGGCAGAGGATAATGGGGGCGAAATGACACTCTCCTCTTTCAATGTGGATTTGTCACCTGTACCAAGACTCTGTGATATCACTGTTCTTAAGCCAGCTGGTGTGGTCTCTAGGCCAGCTAAAGGGGCCTGTCAAGGACCACTGTCTCCTGCAGGACTGATCCTGCAGGAGCTGTGAGTTTGGTAGAACTGGCTGTTGGGAAATACTGTCTTAAAATAACACCTGTCCAGTCCACTGTTTTCAGCAACGAGTTGAAAGTTGGTGCCTTGTCAAGATCAGCTGTGTTCTGCCCTAGTTTAAGAAGACTCCTGAGTTCAGACCCCTTTCCAGAGGTGCTGTACTTCGACAGTTGTTAAAGCTGCAACCCCACGTTTCTGAATTTTAGAATTCTGGTTGAGAAACAGTGGTGTGCTGCATTTTATTACTTGAGGGCCAGATCTGACAGACAGATGTATATGTCATCAGTGAAGTTTTGGCTTGTCCTGAGTGGCCCTTAGACGAAGTCTTTAAGCAGTCCCTCCTCTCCTGATGCAGGTATGAGGATTAGTATTATAATGCTGATCTTGTTCCCTGTCCTTCAGTCTCACTGACCTCTCCCACTCTATTTGGGTGGTCCCTTCCTTAATCTTTCAGGCTACAGCTGGTGTGGCTGTAGACAGGACTCCTCTCTGGTCAGGATGAAGTGATTATCCAGCTGCATGCTTACACCCACCTGTAACACTGACTTCATTAGGGTTTCTTCAAAGCAAAGGCTTGCCCTTGGACAGCTGCACTCCTCCAGTTGTTACATTCGTCAGACTCTCTTGAGCCAAAACAAACTCTGATCTCTGACTGCCTGCTATGGAACTGAATATCTGCCCTGAAACCTGTGCTGCTAAGGAGAGTTTGAAGTGACAATTCTGCCTCCCTGCCAAGACAGGGCAGCTGGTGAGAAAGGAGCGGTGCTGGCAAACAGCTGAAGTAGCTGTGGAGTTCTTCTGGAAGCTCTGTTGTGTTACAGAGCTGAGCTGGAAGGGAAGTGTCATTGTCAGGGTGGGATGACAGTCTGCTAGCAAAGAACAGGGTGACAGAAGAGATAACCTTGGGTACCCTTGAACACAACAGTGACATGGCCTGCCTCAACTTGCTGCGGAAATCAGAGAGAGGATGTCAGGATCCTGGTGTAGTCCCTCTGCTAATGAGTTCCAGGTTGCTAACTCTGATGCCCTCTCCCCATCAACTGCTCTTGTGTGCAAGTGACACACTGCAGCTGCTCCAAGCTCAGCACCAGGTGCAGCTTTCTTTACAACTGGAAAGCTCCTTGGCCTGGTCTGTGTGGCAGAGGAAGAACATGCTGAAATGGCACATGTGGGAAGCATGAGTAAGGGTACAGTGTTCTTTAAAGGCTTCACAGAGTCTAAGTCCAGGGTATTCTACTATGTTGAGGCACTGGATTTCAACTGCAAACCTTTCATGACAGTGGGGTTAAAAATTAATTTGTAGGAAGAAGATTTTCCTTCTCTGCTTAAGCTCAAAGGACAAGTGAATAGAAGCAGAGGGTTCACAGCTGCATGTTTTCTTAGGCAGGAATTCAGAGAATCTTCCCACTTATTTTTGCAGAAGAGAGACTGATCTGATTTCTGTATCTTCAGAAACTGAGCCCATTCCAGCTTCGGAATGGTTCCAGTTTTTTTATACTGCTTCCCAATGTCTCAGCTTCATACTTGTGAGGGCCCTCCTAACTTCTGGGAGATGAGACTCAAAGGTAGCTCTCAGTAATCATGTCCCTGTTGTTTCTTGCAGAATAGAAGATGCAGTGACAACTAAGTTAAATAAATGACCATTCAAATATAACTATCTCTTCCCCTGTGAAGATCCACGGTTTATATAGTCAACCTCTGATGCTTATCTGACATTATCCATGGATTTGTTGATTCTTACACAGCACTATATTCTTGAGTGCTGATTTTTATCACATTTTTAGAAAATAAAATAGTTGCAAACTGAGACTTAAGTCTTGCAGCTTGGCCAGCAGTAATTTTCCTGCTTCACCTGTTTTGCCTTTGAGTACCCACTGCAATGTGATCGTTCAGCTTGAGATCTAATCAGGTTTGATCTGTGGCTTGAAGATACATACACCTAGGGTTGTATTAGTGAATGACAAAGGTGAGACATGAGATGAGTTTATGCTGCAGGAATGCTGCTCCCAGGCAGTTGTTTTCTGTGGTACTGTGATGGTTTGAGTGATGGCCTTGCAGGAGGCCTGTAAGGGTCTAGCAGGATGTCAGCCTGCTTTGTTGAATGTGATTTCTGGTTCTGCCAACATGTCAATAGCTTCCTGTCAAATCAAGTGTTTTCTCTGAAGAAGGTACAAAAATTACCATCTTAGAAGTGAGAAGGAATGAGAGGGGTTTTTAAATATATTGACTTAACTCATCATAATGTTGTGGGTGGAAATGGGTAATGTAATCTTGCTGGTGTTTGTTTCTTAAACAAGTGACTTTTCTTCCAGGAAAGTGCTTCAGCTAATATCCCATGCAGCACAAATAACTGGACAGTTTCTCCTCTATACTGGAACATATATGTTGCAGTTGATGGGTGAATATGATGAAGATGACATGTGCACAAGATCCAGGCGGGAGTAGTGACCACAGCTGTGCTTCTGATGTCGAATCCTTTTGCTTAAAGACATTCTCTTGCTCAGTTCTGATTGTAATGATGTTACAGTAGGGGGGATGTGCACTAATGTGAACTAACAATTTTCCTGTTTGAGAGTGCTTGTAGGCCTTAGGCATGAAGTGCTGGATGTTCACAGGCTCTTAACACCACAAAAAGATGGGTGCCTAATGTCTGAGAATCTGGCAAAAGCAGAGGGGTTTTGCCCCAGCAATTCAAAATGATGAATAAGTATACTTGGAAACTTGCATGTTTTGTAACCAGTGGAATATTTTTTACACCAATCAAGACACCTTCAGATTTATTTTTTTTGGGGGGGGTGGGGTATTTTTGTTGTCGTTGTTTTGGGGGGGGGGTTGTTTCTTTTTAGTTTGTTTTTCATGGCTATGTACTTGCATTCTGAACAGACTTGTGCTGTAAGATGAGGGTAAGAGGACTGGGGTGGGGGGAGGTTTGTTTATTTATTTGTTTTAATCCTTAACAGCACTGGCATTAGTGTGAAGCTGACGTAGAGGTGAAGTCTACCTATTTACTCCTGCTGACAATGGAACTACGGAGTGTAAATTCAATCCTACTTCAGTGGCTGTCTCTTCTCATGAGGTCTAATTGGAGACTGTGCAACCACTAAGCAGAAGGTTAAGATTTAGCCTTACTTCCCTTAAAACAAATAAAACCTTTTCATTATCATTCTTTATAATTTTTTTTTTCAGTTCTTCAGGATGTTCAGGTTATTACAGCTCACACAGTTGAAGAACCTGATATATTTTTTTTAATGAATTTGATGTCCAGTTCTGACCATTCAATAATCTGCCATGGTTTCATTAATACGGCCTATAAGCAACTTGTTGAAGATTTTTTCAGGGGTTAAGCCACCACAGTTTTTACTGTTACAAGATGACACTAGGTGTCAAGATGGGCTTGAGGTACATGTAAGAGATGCTGGATATTTTGTTGTCCCTGGGTTCAGGGAAGAGCATCAGGACACTCCCTAGTCTGCCTAACATACATGTATGCTCTAAAATCAATATTTTCAGTGTTATAGCCTCTCAAGACAAGCTGTATTAAAGGACAAAGTAATGTTTTCCTGTTGCTATGCCCAGCTTTCAGTGAGCTTTTCCTCAACAGTGTGAAAAAATTGGAGAAAAAGTAGCCTTAGGCATCTCGTGTCAAAATGCAAACTCACCTTGGTGAAGAAAAAAAAGCCCAGTTTTGATTGTTCACAGATGTAGCTTTTGAGTTTTTTGTTTGCTTGCACATGAAGAACTTTAGGAAGGCTGAAAGCTGTTAAGGGGGATGTCAGATGCAGGGAATATATCTGTCCTGACAGTAGATGCTACCTCGTAAGAGCAGCTCTAGTGCCAAGAGAACAAGTGGGACAGGGGAGGAAATCAGTGAAAGGGAAAAGACCACTATGGACCCCACAGTGCTTGCCATGCCTCTGAGACAGGAATCCATTAACTGTGTGCACCAACTGCACTGACCTGATCTCCTAAAAGAGAACAGAAAGGTGGGAAAGATAAAGTATTGTGGTTTCTGGTGTCTATTCTGACCTCTTAGCTGGATCTGTTCACTTCAAAGGTCACTGATACATGGGAAAATTGCTCTTGCTTTTAGCTGCAAATCTGATCTTCATGTACTTATTTTTGCCTTCCCACTATGAGTGTGGCTATGCCAGCTGGAGCTGCATCTTTCAAATCACCTTTGAGAGGAAAGGAAACCTAAACCCAAGTGCTAAAGGGACTGATGGACACAAGTTTTGGTCAGTCTCTTCCTGTCCCTTAAGTAATGGTATTGCAAACAAATAGACAGCTAAGGAAAACCTTGCTGTCTTTTCTTAATTCCTGCTATTTCCCACCTACTTCTGAGCAGAGGGCATACTGCTCCAGATAAGGGGAGGACTTGTTCTTTCCTAATTTCTCACAGTGAAGAATGTCTGGAGCTTGCAGCACTGTCAGGTGTCCTTCAGAAGAAAACAATAAACTATTCTGGGAGTAGTGAGAAAGCTTCCATTTTTATATAACATCTTTGTTTTATCTGTATTTTTCTTGATACCCCCTGCATAAATGATTGTTGCCATGTTAACCATTGGCCAAAGTCTTTCTTTCCCTGTCAAGGAATTGCATTTAACTGACTCTACAAGGACAGGGTAATTAATTTTTCCAGTTTTTAAGGACCACTTATTCTATTAAAACCAGCACCAATTTCACACCTCTTGAAAGCAAATTCTCTTAAATGCTTCTAAAAATATTTATGTTGCCTAAGGTGGGAACATCAGCATTATATAAGTGTAAAACAACTGGAATAGCTCATTGTTGTTTTGTATGAGTTGCCCCTTCAACATCTGTAGTACAAAAGCTTTTGCATCTGAACTGTGCAGATCCCAAATTCCAGCCTTCTCTAGCCAGAGGCAATTGGACTAATAGTCCACAGTTTACAGTGGCACCATCTGGGAATCTAGCAGTGATCTGAAAAGCTAACCTGCTATAAATGTGCAATGTTTTTAAGCAGCTGCTCCTTCAACAGCTTAACACTTAAAACTTGAGCTGCTCAAGTTCCTGGGTGCAGCAAGTCTCCATCTTGGAGCAATTCCCTCTGTTCAGCTGTTTGCATTTTGAATTAAAGGAGCTCAGTTTTGATATTTTCTCAAAATGGGAGAAGTGTCCTGGAAGCTGTGTGTAAAATTGTTTCATTGCTTCTGAATCTGTCTCTTTCACAGGCTTAGTATTTGGAGGTGGTATTTATTACTGTACCAACTTCTTTCTGGAAATAAAATTTTGGCTTTGAGTCAAAGTGGAGGAGTTTGTTGTTCTCCAAGTTGGAACCAGTTTGGTTTGGGTTTTCTTTTTGTTTTTTTACTTCTACAGGCTGCTTAGGAAGTATAGCTTTTACTTCTGCTATAGATGGTATGCAGCAAAGAAAACTTCAGCATTATTTACCTTTCAGAAAGCTATATACAAGTGCTGTACAATATCTTACAAGACACAGAAAAACTAAAAGCATAGGCTCTTAGCTGCAGGTATGTAGAGAAGCAGTTAGATTTTTCCACTTGGCATTTTTAGCTTTAATTCCCATGAACCCAGTTAGCCTGCACTTGTTGCTGTTGCAGACAGGGCTGGGAGCAGTGACATGCAGAAGGTGTGAAACGTGTTTGCTCCCTCCTTGTTTGCACTGACCCTTTTTGCCTGTTGCTTTGCATCACTTACTAACAATGCACCAAGTCCTACTCTCTGGTTACCAAAAAAGGAATTTTCACTGAAGTAAGAGACCTTGTTGACTCAGGCACTGCTCATGTTCTGCAGACAGAGCAAAGTTGCTTTCTTCATGACCAGAATGAAGAATCTAGTAGCTGTGTGTGCACAGTTTATCATTACTTCATTTCCTTCCTTTCATAAACCCATGGAAGTTTTCTTGCACCTTCCGATTCTTTCAGGAGAAATGGGATTACAAGCCCTTCTGTCCAGGGAGAGAGGAAGAAGCAGGGTCTAAATTCCTTAGATCATTTGAAATATGCTGTAGGAAACATTATGAATCCCTTCCCTTCAGAGGAAGGAAGATAAAAGCAGGAGAATTGGACTTTGAGCTGGATTTTTTTTTTTTCGGTGAAGTGTGCAGAGAGGTAGGTATACACAATTTTGGAAATGTTGTTAATTCTGAATTTTAACTGTGAGGATAACTTCATATGATAATTAATAACTTGCAGAAATATAACGCTGTATCATTTCAGTATGCTTCTTCCCTGAAATCACACTTGAACAAAAGGCACAAGCTACTTAATTAAAAGTTAAAAAAAAAAGTTTAAAACCAAAGTACAAAGTGTATTTTTGACTGGATGCCTCAAGGTTTATTAGAGGTCCTTATGTGATAAATGTACCACTTCAGTTATGTATCAGCAAGTATCCTTGGGGGGCTTAGAGTTTATCACTGCTTTCTCTACCTTACATTGTCATATATGTAGCTAACATATTTTAAAGTGTTTTGCTTTGGGAAATTACAGTGTTTTTCCACTTCACAATTTTCAAGCCTGGTAAGTTTAACTCGCTGTGAAAATTGAGATGGGTGAAAATTGTGTTTGGCGATGACAATATTTTCTTCTGTGTGGTGCCAATTTTAAGGAACACTTCATGAATAAATAAAATCAAGTAGTGGCTTTGGATGTTGTCTCTATTCATTTCCAAAATTACTTATTCCTGAAACAATCATGAATATTAATGACTCTCTGGTCTGGCACAAACCGTTTGCAAATGCTGGACTGTGGCAGTGAAGTTACTGGATTCTATTTTGTGGCACTGAACTCTTAACTCCCTACTGCTGAGTCACTTTCTGGCCTCAGAGAAACCGTGCAAACTGTGTTTCCTTTCATACAAAAGGTTTGCTTTCCTCCATCTCTTACAGAAGTTGCAAAAGACTACAAAGCACTGAGTACAGGAGATAGAAGGGTTCAGTGATCTCTGATGTTCACTAAACACTGTTAGGATCAAGGACTTCTTTGTTTTGCCTCGCAAAACCTCCCTGCAGTCATTTACCTAAAGATAGAGTAGTAGACATTTGACTGCAGGGAACAAATTAATTTAGTTTAGTGAAATATCATATTTGCCTAGTTCAGGATTAACTTAAGCTTGAGGGGGGTTAGCATACAAGTGTGGTTTGTCTATTGCTCCTCTATCTAATAAGTACATCTTGTGTTTAGCTTAAGGGATGGTTTTGAAGAGCTTGACTGATGGAGCAGTTCCCCTCTTGTTGGGGAACCACGGTCTGGCTTCTTGCTGTGGGAAAGCACAAAATAAAACTGTATTTGGTTCAGTGGCAAGGCTTTGGCAGTGGGAATTACAGGGGTGCTGCAGGGGTGGCCTGTGTGCCGTACAGAACTCCTTCCATCTGGCTCTGAAACAAACCCACCATTACCCAAAGCTGAGACCTTCAGACAAGCTGTGACTGTCTCTGTGGAAACATGTTTAAGAAAGGGTAAAAAATGCTGTGCAGCTGCTGTGAGGAAACAACTGAAAAAAATGTGGGAGATAACCTGCAGTCATCAAGGTCAAAAAAGAAGTGGGAGGAAGTGCTACACGTGCCAGACAGAGCTTTCTCTGCAGCCTGTGCAGGAGAAAACCTCCGCCCATGGAGCCCTGCTCCCACAGCAGGTGGATGTGCCTTGGGGGAAGCTGCAGCCATGGGGGGCAATTCCCATTGCTCCAGGAATGAACAATTTTTCTGGCAGGAGCTGTGGCCAGTGAGGGACTCAAACTGGAGCAGTTTGTTCCACACGCTGTGGAAGGGAGCCATGCTGGAGCAGACTGTATGAAAAAGAATGGATGTGGAATGATCATGAGCCCCATTCCTCTAAACCGCTTAGGGACAGGGAGAGGAGGTAGAAGAGCTGGGATGAAGGAGTGAAGTTCAGCTTCAGAAGAAAGAAGAGTTTGGGGAAGGTGTTTTTGTTCTGTTTCTCACCATCTCATTCTATTTTTTGTTGAAATTAAATTGATCTTTCCTGAGTTCTGTCTGTTTTGCTGATGTCATTAATTGGTGCATGATCCCCCTGTCTTTATCTTGACCCACAGACTATTTCATCTTATTTTCTCCCTGTGTCTGTTGAGGGGGTGAAGTGAGAGGTCAGCTGGTGGGTGCCTGGCAGGCAGCAATATTTAACATACCACAAGCACAAAACACTGGAAGTAAAAACAAGCAAAAACCCCAAGGTTTGTGTTAATGGTGGCTAATAAAATTGGAAACAAATCTTTTGGAGTGATTTCTGAATGTCTTTTCACAGCTATGTTCAGAGGTATAAAATACAGTCATGTGCAAGACCAAGATAATATTTTCACTTTACTAAGCTCAGTCTCGGGCAAGGTTTTTCTAAGGTCACCCATCAATCTGAATCATTTTTAGTAGGCCCCACTCCTAATGTGCTCTTGATTAGAAATATTTATAAATAAATACCAATTATCATTTGAAAAAGAACTTTGAAATAATACTGTTAGTAGTTTCATGGAACTAAACAACTAATGAAATGTAACACTAGAGGTACGGTCTGTGTTTATGGACTCCAGAATCAGGATAATGCATTTTACGCAGTACCAACATAAAAAAAAACCCAAAAAAAACCAAAAAAAAAAACCCCAAAAAAGATTGGCCAACTGTTTTCTAAAGAGTCTGCTTCAATAATTAGCATACATTATGTATAGATTTGGCTGGGGAGGTTTAAGTAATATAATTGTTGTAACAGGTTGTTTGTGATTCTGTCATGTATTAGGGAAAAAAAATGAAAAAGCTTAGCTCCTCGGACAAAAACCCTATTTAAGAAAACAGTACTTTAATGATGTGTGTAGTCAGTCTATTATAGAACCAGAGAAATGTCAGACATCTAAGAAGTTCTTTAAAGTCCTAAAGGTAATTTCTTATGACACATTTTTAATTACATCATGAAGTCCATAATCTTTAATGGTAAAAACACTTCTAATTACAAAACGTCTTCCCTTGCATAGGTACGTCGCTTGGTTTGCTAATGCTCTTTATTAAGAAGTGTTTTCAAATGCTCTTCTCCCATCTCAAAAATCAAAAGAGAATGTACAGGAAAACTATAAATAAACTTATTTAAGTAGAAAGACTACTGATTTATTACTGAGCTGGACAAACTGAAGTCTATGGTAAACTCTATTTTATTCCTGAGAAGCTAAATCGAAAATGCCATCATTTCAGTGATTCCTGTACAAAATGTGCTTAAGGTAGGTGCTCACCCAGCTGCAGCTTTCATGCTTTCTTCCCTGCTTAGGGAAGTTGCCCAGAAAAGCTGCCTTGAACAGTTGCAGAATATTGTTCTAATGTCCACCCAAGTGGTCATGCTTTGCAAATAAAAGTCAGTATCTTCCAGAATAACTGATGTGTTTTCAGAAATTATTGATTATTCAAGAATGAATCCATTTTACCAGAAATCATAAAGTATTTGATAGCTACTGCAAATATTCCAGTCTCCCAGAAAAAGCCATTTCATCTTTGCATGGGAGGATCAAGATGTTTTTCCTCATTATTATAAGCACTTCCTGCATACTACATTAGGTTCAATAGTTCATCTTGATAAGAAAAGTGCTGTCTCTAATAGTTCCACCTTTGTGACCAATGAATTTAGTAGTCCTCTCAATTCCTCCTAGTGTTAGCTGGCCCTGACATGGTACCATGTTCAATTTTCACAAGAGTTGTGATCGGTGAAAACAAAGCAGGTTTTGTCACTAGCAGCATCAGCTATGGCTAAAGACAGCAACAATCTAACAGATAAAAGTCACTTTTCTTTCTCTAACTTCTCACTCTCCAAAGGCTGTTGAGTTTAGGAGAGGGGGGATGTTTAATTGGAGTAGTGGAGAGGGGCTTGGTTGGTTGGTTGGTTTTGACATTTTGGTTTTTGGTTTTCTTTCACCGGAAAAATTCCAGCTGCTACATTCTGTTCTTTTTCTCTGTGCCTGATGCCACCAGCTTCAAGCACTCAGTTCCTTCAACTGTTTTTCTATACTTTGCTCTGGTGACCCCTTTACACACGAGACCCATTATGTTGTTTCTCTTGTGGCCTTCCATCACCTGTTCCAGATCTCCTCTGGCCACATTCAAACTAAAAATACTTCATGACTGAGGGAAGAAGGGGGTGGGGTGGGCAG